CACATTTAAATATTTGTAGAAAGCATGTCGATTGGTTACAGATAACTTTCGTGCATTTCTTCCACAATCATTACTTATAGTTCATATTAGATTATACACTTTAAATCAAAAATCTTCGTATATCTTACTATCAATGTACCACAATTCTCATTTGAATGCCATTATGTGGTTGTCTTTAAGTATAAATGATTTGAGGTAAAAGCATGTTAAAATAATTGTAGTCAAATGAGAATTGTGGTACATTGATAGTAAGATATATGAAGATTTTTGATTTAAAGTGTATAATCTAATATGAACTATAAGTAATGATTGTGGAAGAAATGCATGAAAGTTATCTGTAACCAATCGACATGCTTTCTACAAGATATAATGAAGGATGATTCTTTTTTTTGTGTGTTTTTGTTCAATTAAAATAAAATAAAAATTCAAAAAAAAAAAGTAAGCTCCTTTGGTTAAAGATGGAATAGAAACTGGTTGTCTGCTGTCAGTCAAATACATTAGCCACTGTACCTTAGTCCTGGCTATCCTGTTTTATTTTTCAACTGCTTCATACTGTGAAATGTAACATAGACTGGACCTTCATTCAGCCAGTGGAAATTAGGTAGACTGGTTCTGTTCTAGTCCTCAGGAAGTTATGTGATGCTATTTTTCAACTGTCTCTGACAGCTTCCTACAACTGAAGAAACCAGGAAGAAACTAGGAGGGATTCTAAACTGTTCTGAGGCAAGAACTACGAACTACAAAATTATGATAAATTATATTAGATTAAAATATCTTCAGAATAATCATGCCACATGGACAGATTCAGGGGACATCATGATCAAGATATGATGTTGGGATGCAGCAAAGAGAAGTGAGATAAAGAACCAAAAGTTGAAAAGGCTATACATCTTCATAAATCACAAGGAAAGGTACAGAATAAGGAGACAAGAAAAGGTGGAGGAGGAAAGGTCACTTTGATAATATATAGAAAACACTAATTACTACAAAAGTTCCTCAATATGACAATAGCCACCTTCAACATTAAGTCTTCAACAAACAAAAAGCAAGGAAAAATACATGACTTGTGCGACATAATATTTCTGCTGATATTTGTTCCATGGCCAAAGTCCGCCCTCACTGTCATATGTTCCTATTTCCTGTAAAATCCAACAATTTCTGCTGTATGAAGGAAAAGATGAAAATAGGCAAATTTCAACTCTAACTAATGAATTGCTCAATTTATATAGCAATGGTGAACCCTATTACAAATGTGAACAAGAAAAACGTCAGATAATACAACCATCTCTTCCATATTGGTGCCAAAAAAGTCCTTCCATTGAGGAATGGATGAAATCATTCTGTGATTATTCAAGGGCAAATCTATCATTTTATCAGACATTTAACGCCAAACCCAACGAGCAAGACAAATTTATTCAAATTTATTTCAATGGATCCTCAAGATCCTCAATTGAGAATAGTATATTCCATAAGGATGGAATTTAATGTGAGATGGAGGGACAGGGAGGGAGGCAAAACACCTTCATAGCAAACTGGTAGTAAACCGGTTAGGAACCCACCACTGCTAGGCACCTGAGGCACTTCAACAGCTGTAGCTTTGAGGATCAATCATAATTTATTTGGTTCAACACCATCTTATTTTCAAACAGTTGAATCATAATTCAAGAACTACCTATAGAAATAAAAAAAAAAATATTTCATATTTGCTTTTAAAAATAATAAAAATTAATATGCATACATCTTAGCCCTTTTCTTTGAATCTAAATGTATTTTATCTATACTGTATATCTATACTGACTCCAAAATATACTTTATATGCAGAAAGATAATATACCTCTGCGATCAGAGATAATAATTAAGAAAACCATTATCTCTCTTCTTGAAAAGAAATATATTGCACAATAAGGGTAACCATCCTTTCCTCATCCTTCATGATGTTCAGAAAAGAGAATCATGTGGCTACCTTTTCACGCCATTCGCTTTCCGGGATTTAATTTACAATGTAATTAATGGCTTTATTTTTCCCCCCTCCTGAGAATTGTAGCACTGAATGATCTTATTTTCACTTGACATAAAAAGACAGAAGACTTGTAAGACAGACAGGATGGGGAGCAGAGATACAAATCAGACTCTTCCACTAAGGCTTTGTTGGGACAGCAGGCTTCTAACTAGCTCATTTGCTCCCTAATTGCTATCTTTACAGCACTGTAACTTAGCCATGCAGAAAACACAAAGAGATTGCAAAGTTTTTGCCTCTCGAGACAATAAGCAGACTAATCTGGCTTTATAGTGATGTTTCTTATTATGTACCTCCCTTGTCTTCATTAACTGCAATCGCTTGGCTTCCTGGTTCTTGTATTCTGCTTCTGTTTTTAGGTGGGCATTCATAAACGTACAGTTATTATTGTGACCCTTTCAAACCTCGGAAGAGTTTTCAGGAGATTGTAAGATTATACAATACAAATTCCCCCCATGTTTGAGGGGAAAGCAACCTCCACCCTGTGGAATTTTTTACGCAGACTAATATAAAGCAAGTAAAGACCATCTTATTTAAATTCTAACATTTAGGGCTGAGAGGATAAAAAAGATTTTATTGCCCACTAAAATCACAAATCGGTCTAAACTTGAAGATACTTAGGTGGGAGTTGCAGTCTGAGTAGGCCACAGTTAAAAAGGCCATTACTTACTTCTGTTAATAGTGGAAAAAGCTTTGGGATAATGAAGGTTTAAGCCTGTAGTACTTAAGATTAGCATTAAAGTGGGGGAGCTCTCTTTCTTTCTGGAAATATCTGTATTTTAATATATCTATTAGTCTCTAGACTAAGCAGACACTAAAGGGAGGGTGTTTGGGTATATTTCTGAATGTGATTAAATATATTTTGTAGATCAGAAAAATGGTTTTGATTGGAAAAGTTTTTTTTTAATGTTGAGGAATTCATGTAAGGGGCGCACTTGAACTGAAGCCAGTAAAATTAGCTGTTATCTCAGAATACATAATTCAGTTAATAAATAAAAGAGAGTTTATGGTCATCTGAGAAGAAGGAATGGCAGGCGTCCAGCCACTGTGGCTGTATGCCCATCCCCAGGACTTACCCATTATAAATACTGTATTCTAATGAAGTGTAGAGGCATGCAGTTGCTTGCAGATTATGTCATTCTCACTTTTCACTTTGTATTAACATGATGTGAGGTGGTTTTGACTCAGTCTGGGCAATGAAAAAGACTAAAAGAACATGCCAATGTTAATGAAACACCACCTCCTGGAGTTTGTCACTAACAGATTATACAAGCTAAGACACTATCCGCAACAGCGTCTCTAAGTGCAAGAATCATATACTGAGAGATAATTTAATTTCAACCAGAAAAAGCTCATTGTGCTTTTGCTTATTTTCAGAATTATATGAACATTTCATTATTCACATTTTGTTATGGTTACTATGGCTTGCTTGCATATACTAAGATCAAACCAAACTATGCTGGATCATCTGTTAACATTAGACTTTGCTAAAGACTTGAATTCATGCTCAAGGACCATTACAGAACATAGAAATCAAGCAATTTGAAAATATAGCATTTATTTCTCCCTTCAATTTGACACATTCTTGGTAATGGTGCAATTATTAGCAGTTATAAGTATCTTATTCCCTAGTTCAAAATTATATCTTTTTGTGCCTACCTCATTTCACTTCTGTTTCACATTGTTTTAACTTTCCCAGCATAGGAATGGAGAATAAGTGAGTCTTCTCAAATGTCAATATTCAACAAATGAAAATGTTATTTTTCAGTTTAAACCCTTATGTATGTAGATATTGTATGTTTTTGTTTGCTTTATTTATTTAATTTGGATGCTGACCTACACTACAATAAGCTATACTGTTTTATTCAAATAGTTGGCTAGCTATACTTAGTAACTTTGAAAGATTGCAAGCTAGGAAATATTTGTGTGTTTGGGTTTCTGGAATAGCATTACAAATATAATCCATATTTTATTTGGGAAGTAATAATTTTACCTATAAAATAAAAAAGGGTCGGATAATTTTAGTGACAAAATAAATTTAATTATTTATAAATAGTGCAAGGATCAAAATAATAATAGTGATAGATATGCAGACATGCTAAGTGAGCATGAGAATATATGAGAGTTTTCCATTTCTTTTAAAACTATGATAATTTCGACTTGTGTATGACTCTGTCTTCAAATGCAAGAAAACCAAAAATCAGCAGTGCAACTGGAAAAGAAACTTTTTCAAAAGAGTGGAGTTCTGTAGTTTCATGTTATTCTATACTAGAAAAATAAGGTGATATTGCTGAATAAGTAATAAGATGGATTCTTGAAAGTAATTCCTGGAGTACCTGTTTCTTGATCATTAAAGCCCTGTTTAATGAGGTGGCACTTCATGGATGCAGAGACTTATAGCGGCCTTCTAGATAATCTGACATTTCTTAGTCTGGACAAACTACTAAACAAGAGATAATTTGCATATTTTAAACCTGTTATATTCTTAACATAAATAATAGTTTATGCAAAGTTCTTCTAAATCAGTATTGTAGGAAGAGTGCCTCTATTGGTTTAGACAATAATTCACAGCCCTCCTAGAAAAAAATATTAATGAGATTGGAAATGTCCAAGATAAAATGTCCATGATTTTTTAATGCATGCAAAGCGTGTAGAATGTAAATGAAATCTGAAACTTTAGCATTGATTAAGAAAAAAAGACTTTGCTTAGAGAGTTAGGCAAAGTCATAAAGGGAATATACTTTGATGCACTAAGACCAAAGCAAACTACCTTTTTCATATATACTGTTTCAATATTGACTTTTAGTTTTCAGGTGGAATATCTTTTCTCTTCCCAGAAAAGAATAATGAAACTTTAATATGAAAAATTGTAAGCAATTACTGTTCTTTTACAGCTTGCCGACCAGGTTTTTATAAAGCCTTTGCTGGTAATATTAAATGTGCCAAATGTCCACCTCATAGTTCAACAAATGTGGAAGGTTCTACAAATTGCAAGTGTGAGAAGAACTACTTTCGATCTGAAGGAGATGTTCCATCAATGGCTTGCACAAGTGAGTAACCTCATTATGATGACACTGAAACCTGTCCTTACATGTGGTTGGTCATCTAGCCATGCATTTTAGAGTATTTCCATGTCATTAGTGTTTCCAGACTAATCGTGATTAGATATTGTTTTGATTGTTGGTTTGGGAAAAGGGCTGAAGAATAATTTTTAAACACAAAAATGCAAACTCCTGGAAGACAAAGTTTGCATTCTACTATGAAGAGAGAAAGAGAGATGGAAAGAGAAACTAACTCTGGATTCTGGAGGTGGGATGAAACAAAAGTTCATACCAATTGAAAACCAAGCAGGTATTCAGATAAACAAGTTAAAAGAAAGACAACAGACTCGTGCCAATTTGCAATAAGCAGAAGCATGGGTAGAAGCAAGTAAATTCAGAGCCTCAAAAGAGTAGTGTAGGGTCAGTTAGGCCCAGAGATAATTTATCTGTGATATAAACAATAATATGGACATGCCTTTAGTCTGTATTTCTACTTTATTTTTTATAGTTAAAATTTTTTTAAAAGGCACAATTGTATTGTAACACTGTACATTGTGTTTGTGTGGTATACCACCACTCTTATCATTACTACTTTTATTGCATTATCATGCATAGTAGCATAATGTTATATTAGAATTACTTCCAATTTTTATAAATTGTTAACTATCCCTATTTCTGAGTGTGACAAGTCTCATTCACTTATTGTGGAAATTCAGATATACAGTTGTCTGTTGTGGAAGACTAACATTGAGCCTAGGGGTGTGTATTAAAAACCTGAGTACCTAGACTTAAGGTCTGCTTTTTTATTAAAACTGTACAAAGCTTTGATGGATTATTGAATTCACATGATTTGACTGATTCCACCATTGAATCAAATTATTGAAAAAAGCAACTTCTTTTATTCCTGAATTGAAGCAACAATGCTGTATCCATTTTATTGGTCCGCTCCTTCCCATGGTCTACAAGCACACAAGAAGCTTGTTGGTAGTCACTTAACCCATAATGACAGCTCGTAAAACAGGATTGACCCTCATCCCAACTTTGATACTTCACAGCCCTGAATATGTGGCTCAGTTGCTATGGCACATTGCATCAGCTGGATAATGAAAGCACAGCATTAAGGCACACTTTTACTGGTTTGGTTAATTTTTTAATAAAGTGCTTTATATAGCTGTACCTAATGTTTTTATTGTCTTTCATCATGCTGAATTTATTCATAGCAATAGCCTGAATATTAGTTAATTTAGAAAGAGGGATTAAAGCTAGACATTAGAATATATATGTGTTACAAAATTGGTTGATATCTCTTAAAATATGTAAGAGAATATATAATATATAATTTTTCTTTAGGATAGGACAGTGGAACGATGGGCTTTTTATAACTTGTGGGCTTTAATTCTCAGAATTCCTGAGCCAACCATACTGGCTCATGAATTCTGGGTGTTGAAGTCTACAAGTCATAAAGGGGCCACAGTTCCACTCCTCTGCTTAAGAGATATAAAAGAGAATCAGTGACGTGCGGTGAGGTTTATGGCTGGTGAGGCAGCATTTTTTTTAGACTTGTGGACTTCAACTCCCAGAATTCCCCAGCCAGGCATGCTCAGTTCCGATTTAAAGCGACAGCATTTGTTTTTCTAAACTTATTTGCTAAATAAGTTTCTTTCTTTCTTTTTCTTTTTCTTCTCCCTTCCCCTTCTTCCTCCCTGTCTCCCTCCCTCCCACTCTCTCAAACACAGACACACACACACACACACACACACACACACACACACACAGAAAGTTGCACCAGGATTCAGAAAATTTATGTTTTCCTCTTCAGCCCATGATAGCAATACCACTAGCAGCATTTTGGCTAGCAGGTGGAAGTGGAAGTGGAAATTCATTCTACTGAAAACATTGTTTTTGCTTATGATTGGATAATTAAAATTTCAGAAGACCCAAAAGCATAGTATTAGAGTGTTACATAGTGCATAAACTAAATAACTCTCTCAATATGCTCCCTCCCCCCTCTCTCAAACACACACACAGACACACACAGTTGCACCAGGAAGATGAAGTTTGAATTCCTCCCCCTCCCTCCGACCCATACATACACATACCTTTTCCAGCTGTTTCAGAGAAGATTTCAACTCTGCTCTTGCCTGTCATCATGAAAAGAAAAAAAAATGTAAAAGGAAAAAGGCAAGAGCTGAGGTAGGCTGAGCTAGTTGCTGCCAGAGTCACCATGTGGATGATTCTGCTTAACTGTTTAAAAACGCCTCTAAAATAATGCCCTCTACAGGAGGCAGGAGAACGATGTGCCTCATCTACGTCAGGAATTTTTTGGCTTTTAACCCTTGCTTAGCTCTGCTCAAGTGATCATAAAGTCAGACTAGATGAGGCACCTCGTTCTCCTGCCGCCTCCTGTAGAGGACACTTTTTAGAGGCTTTTTTAAACAGTTAAGCCCTAAGCAGAGTCATCCATGGTGACTCTGGCAGCAACCAGCTCAGCCTTTTTCCTTTTACATTTTTTTTCTTTTCATGATGACAGTGGTGAAGCTCTGCCTCCCCTGCCTCCCCTGACTGTACGTTCCTGAAAGAGATCATAAAACCATATGTCAGTGATAATTGTTAAATGTGTGCCTGAATGACTATTTCTTGAACAGAGTTCAAACAGGATAAATGATACTTATTTTCATTCTCTGCCCATATAGGACCCCCTTCTGCTCCCAGAAATGTTATTTCTAATATCAATGAAACCTCAGTTATCCTAGATTGGAGCTGGCCTTTGGACACAGGGGGCAGAAAGGATGTCACTTTCAACATTGTATGCAAGAAATGTGGAGGAACCAGCAAGATCTGTGAACCATGTAGCAATATAGTAAGATTTCTTCCTCGTCAGATGGGACTCTCCAATACGACTGTGACTGTAGTGGATCTCTTGGCTCATACAAATTACACTTTTGAGATAGATGCTGTTAATGGAGTATCTGGTTTAAGTACCATCCCAAGACAATTTGCTGCAGTAAGCATTACAACCAATCAAGCAGGTGAGTACAGAAATGGTTATTTTGCTGTCACAAAAGAATGAAAGTGTCCTTCAACCCTGTGCCTATCATCTTCTTTTACTCAACCTTCAATGCACCTTTTTTTTAAAAAATCAAGCAAATAGAATGGTAGTTATATGGAAGGCAGGAATCTTATTATAGATGAATATCAGCAGAATGTGAGTCAGCAATGATGTTGTTACAAAAAAAGCAAACCTAATTTCCATCTCCATCAATATAAGCATGGTTTCTAAATCATGGGGAGTAGTTTTCTACTTCATTACTTCCTTGGCATCTCAAATATGTGCCAAATTCTGACTTGATCTGGAGGATCATGATAAACTTGAACAGATAGGAAGAATAGTAAGAAGAATGGCTAATATGCTGTAAACTAAGTTTTAGGAAAGCTGATCAAGAGATAAATTTAGCATTTGTAAGAGAAAAAAATAACAGTGGAATGAAACTTGTGTTTGCTACTATTTATCACTATTTCTTCAGGAGTGTCTGTTAATAATTACATCTTTGAGTTGTTATTTTATAGTTAATCAATATTATTTCATATTTCATCAATGAGAGTATTATTTTAACTGACTAATTTTTTTAGTTATCTTAATTCCCCTTTCCCCTCCCCTCCGAAGCATTAAGATCTTCAATCTTTGCTTAGCTTCATTATCAGTGTAAAGCCTCAGGCTTGGGAGAAAGACTTGATCTATGATATATTTTATCTTAAGTAACAGATTTGTATTCATAGCCAAATCATCTAGAATTTTTTAATTTAGGAACACAAAATATATATATTTTATTTTGTCCACTTATTTGCATTGTCCATTGCACAGTAGTAATTAGATGAATTGAATACAGTTTCATTTCTCAATCTCAAACCATTTCATTGCTTCTTATTGTGTTTCAAATGATTAGAATAACACGTGATTCAGGGTAAATAGACTTTGCTTTAAACTGCACAGTTAAAGGACAGCATTAATATAATTAATAAAGCAAAAATAGCTATAATTAATAAAGCAAAAATAGCTATGATTAATAAAGCAAAAACCATCCTTCCGAAATTCCATTGCCTTTCCAGTGGTGATATTCAGTCAGCTTGGACCAGTGTAAGCAAACCGGCAGTGGCAACTTGTGGGTGGGCCTGCCCACCCGCCCAGGCTCTATGCTGTTCTACTTAGCTGCATTTTCTAAGCCATGTGCATGTGTGCAAGCCACGCATGCGAGGAAAGCGCATGCACAGAAGGTGCATGTGCTCACAAAGCACGTGTGCACGCACACTCTCAGTTTTGGTGCGCGGCGAATCAGTAGTATAATTATGTAAAACTCACCTCTGTGCCTTTCCCATTATCCATTGGTATTATCAATGCAGCATTTATTTCTGTCTTTTCTGAGTTCAGCTTGTGTGTCTGCAAATTCTAATTCTAAGTACTGTTTTATATGAGATAAGTGCAATTATTTGGTAGTTTGAACATACTTTAGCACTGCAATTTATGTTACAGGATTATAAACTAATCTTTTCCAGTTCTTTGGCACTGCTTATAGCATTTTAACTGCATTATCTTGCAAGCTTTTAAAGAATACATCTGGTATTTAATCAATTCATGCAGCTTTGTTGTTAGCAATATGTTCTAAAGCTTATAAAATTTCATTTTCTATTATGCCTGTCTATAGTTTAATGATCAAACCATTGTATTTGGCAATTTATTCCTTTGTTTTCTTGGATAGGGTGATGTTAAAGATACAATTTTACATATTTATATGATCTCCATTTTTGCACAAAATGTTCTTGATATTTATATTTGACTTCAATACCCACATTTTCTGTATACTGCTTATGTACATATAATTTTTCCTTCCATTTTTCTTGACCCTGTGTTAGGTTTTCAATTTTCTGTTGCTTCCAGCATTCTATATTTCCAGAACATATTTTCTCCAGCTATTTTCAATTTTTGAACAGAGACTCATTTATATTTATTAATTTTCTTTTTTCCATTTCCAGATATTTTTGTTTGATTCTTCATTAATGATATCATAAATTTATTTTTAGAATTCTTCAGGTACTCGGTCAGAGATAATCCATTAAATTATTTCAAAATAATATGAAATATTGTTCATGCTGTAAGTTGTTGGTTTACTTTTTTGGCTTTTGTTTAAATGATAATTTTGCGAAGAACTTTTGATCTTTGTCACATTCAGCACTTGGTCTTGTTTTTGTTGGCTGAATGGCATTTGTTTTTCTTTGTTTACACAAAGTGTAGTCAATTTTGATTTTTTTCATCCAGCAGTATCCATAAGGAAAGTCATCTTTAAATTTGTTTGAAGAAGATATTCAACAAGGTATTTAAACTTCTTGGCAGAATGCCATTAGTTTCTCTTCTACTTCATTTTATTCATCAAGATCAAATTTCCCCATTATTCTAGATTTTGTTGTGCTTCCAAATTTAATATTCTGTTTTCCTATAATTAATGACAATTTTAAAAGTGTGGATAAGCTGTTACAAATCACCATAAAATTGTTCAGCTGTAGCTTCTTCTGCCTCTACTGTTACAGCATAGACTTGAATTACCACAATATTTATTGGCTTGAATCGAACAAAGTAGAGTATTTCATTTGGGGGATATAGTGAAACATCGGCTTTGACACCAGGTTTGTTAATAATTATGGCAGTTTCATTTCTTCTGTGATTTTCTACTGTGCAATAGAAGATCTGATGTTTCTTTGATGTGAAATGAAGTTTCAGTTCATTTCAGTTCACTGACTCTCAGAATGTCAACATTCAGTCTTGACATGTCTGCTCTAACATTGTTAAATTTGTCTTGGTTTCTGGTTCTGACATTCCCTGTAACTGTAGGATTAATAGATATTCAGCATTGTACTTTCCTTTTGCTCTGTCCACAACAGCTGGGTTTCATTTTGGCTTTAAAATGGCCACATAATAAGGACTAGTGTCATTTCTTCTTGTTTTTGTTCTTTCCAATAGGCCATTGGATTTTTCCAGAGTGACAGCTTAACCAATCCATTTCCAATGGATTGAAGTGATTTAATCTGATATTTTGTCTATGACATCATGAGTGATTCTTCTGGAAGTGTAAAGTCTCAATGTACTTCATCATGGGAGATACAAACTTTTTTATTGTTCAATTTTACATTTCACAATGTGGAGGACAATTTGTAATACTTTTCAAGTATCTGAAGAGATTTGACACAGAAGAACAAATAAAAGGCCATGCTGTTTTCTGTCATCCTTTACAGCTGATCTTACTACTCAATGTATTACTTCCTATGACAAAAGATGTAAGTCAGATGTTGACTAAATCTGTCTTACATATTTTTAGGGCAAAGACGTAGTAAGGACCATGACTTTGGTTAATTTAAATTTAGAATGCACAACATTAACTGAATACAGGGAATATGAACAATCCCATATATTTAGCAATGTGTATATTCATGATAAAATTATTCTTCTGGAGAAGCTTGTGCATCATTGTCGCATGGTACTTTTTACTATCCACTTTTTAGATTGATTTAGTTTCTTCACACTTAAAGGAAGGACTACTAAAATCAATAGGAGAGAATTTTCAGTTGTTAGGTGATATTATAACCAGCAAGGATTAATAACTTCCATATTAAGTGAGCAATGTAAAAGATCACGTTGTGCTATGTTAAATGATATTTTATTAATAAAATTGGATATTAATCAAAACTTCATACCAATGATACCTAGTGTAAATTATAGAGGTAATATAAGTAATTAATTCTGGTAATAGAAATAAAGAAAATTAAATCCTTTTATATTATAAAAGACTAGCTTTCATGCTCATCCTTGTTTTCTGTTCTCTTTATAGATTGTGATCATCACTAGTTTTATGTGAATATTCATTTAAAAGACCAATTGTATTCATATTTTCTTCATGCAATTGGTGGATTTACCAGTTTTACAGGTGGTCCTCAACTTACAATCAAAATTGAGCTCAAAATTTATGCTGCTAAGTGGGGCATTTTTCTTCACCTTTCTTGCCACAGTTGTTAAGTGAATCACTGCCATTACTAAGTTAGTAACATGATTGTTAAATGAATCTGGCTTCCCCATTACTGATTTTACTTGTCAGAAGGTTATAAAAGGTGATCACATGACCTGTAAAGGGCATAAGTATAAAAAATGGTCCTTGGTCACATTTTTTCAGTGTCATTGTAACTTCGAATGATTGCAGAATAAAATTATAAAAATTTAAATCAGTTTTTTTCCTGGAAATTTTAAGGAATATATGGGTTATTATACTATATGTGTCCCATATAGAGCTGAGGTGGTGCAGTGGTCAGGATGCAATACTGCAGGCTATTTCAGCTGACTGCTAGCCGCAGTTCGGCAGATCAAATCTCAACAGGTCAAGGTTGACTCAGTCTTCCAACCTTCCAAGGTGGGTAAAATGAGAACCCAGATTGTTGGGGGCAATATGCTGACTCTGTAAACCGCTTAAGCAGTTTATAAGTCTAAGTGCTATTACTATCTGTTTATGTTATAAAATTGGAATCAATTTAGGTTTTTGTTCTGGATTTTTCTGAACAACAGCTTACCAGACATTTACCAATTTGTATCACCCATGGGTTTATATTTTGTTAAAATCTAATATAAAATGTGTTATCTATTGCTGAGTACTAAACGCTATTTTTTTATTTGGCTACATTATCAACAAGTTCCCCAAACTGGCATTATATACTTTATAGCCCCAAACACCATGTTGGATAGGTATTATAGTTCAGAGAGGTCTGTAGACCAATAAATGCTATTATTCGTAGTTCAATGGTGGGATATATTTCATCCACTTAGCTTGAATAATTTCTAATTAGTAACTTACATAAATCTTTGGTCAATAATTGATATTTCCAAGTGTAGATAGAAAGATGCAATGGTATTAATGCTACATTACTGAAGATGTATTTGTTCCCTAATTTAAACCATGTTTCCATTCTCCTTTGAAATTTGTGTGGATCTGTGCAC